GTGACATCCTCTACCAGCTATGCCACCTGCAGGATCAACTAGTTCAAAAGGTACATATATTAGTTGAGTGTTGTCATCAATAGTATCACTGTCAGTGTATCAGTATCTATGATAATACATTATGTGTTAGTGTAGGTTGGGCTGGGTAGCCTAATTATCTCCTTTGGTATTAAGCCAATTGCTTGCATAGTATAGTAGAAGCCACACTACTGATATAGTACATGAAATCATTATCAAGCAATGAATATCATTACATACAAATTCCAGTCTAGGCCTTGGCGGATTATGCCAGCATAATTTTGAGCATAATAGGCCCCAAAAGCATAAGCATAATGTGAGCATAATAGAGCTATAATAGAAAATTTTGAAAAAAATGCATTGAGAAGTGCAATAAACAGGCACTTACACTCAATAAATTAACTGTTTTCATGTTTAAACAGATACTATTGCTCACAATACTTTCAAGAACTTCATAATTGAATTACTGGCTCACATTTTTGGGTGGGGCTAAGTTATTATAATGAAATTCATGGGCATAATTGGGAGCATAATAGCTGATTGGTAGAGCGTAATAGAGCTGTTTCCTGAGAATTGCAGCATAGCATAATAGAGCAATTTTAGAGCATAATCCGCCAAACCCTATTCCAGTCTCATTTACACATGTACTTTTTCTTAACAGTTTTTGATAATTAAACAAGCGAAAATAAGCAGCTGTGAATATACATCCCGACATACAGTATATATCATAAAAGTTTGATTGCAGATATATTTATAAAAATGCAAAATTAGATTTTTGTAAAATAAACTTTGTAGCATTTACATACCTACAAAAATATATTTTTTTAAAATGGAATCCACAAATAAAATTGCAATTTTAAGCTACAGATATTTCATTTCATTATCTATTTCAGACAAAAGTGTCACTCCTGAAACAGACGAGGTAGCAATTTCACCAGCAAGCACTGACAGAGCAACAGGTATTTATCATTCAATCCTTCACTATAGGATAGAAAAAAATGAAGCAGTGCAACCTAGTGTTAATTAACATTGTACACAGATTAGACACACTGCATGCTTACATTTAAACTCTATGGACTTTAAGCCTGGTTTACACTCTCCATAAAATGCAATGCAAATGAATGCAAAATTAAAATTTGACAAATTTTGCGTCAACTTCAAAGCATTTTTGCATCAAAAAGTCATATTGCCAATGCACCTTTTGACCATTTTTTTTTGAATGTAAACCTAGTGTTAGGGTAATGAAACTATTATTTGTACATTTTTAGGCACTAATGGTCTTTCTTGGAAGAATTTTGACTTAGCAAGCAAACTGCATGATCTACGAGATGAATTTGATGAGGCGATTAGAATAACGAAAAATTCCTTCAAATCAACTGATGTACCAAAAATCATTGACTACCTCAATATGCACACAATGTCATTACTTGGTCCTAAAAAGGGACAGCAAACAACTGCTCAAGCAATTAGAAAAGAGTTTAAAAATATCCAAACATTATCAGAATTATTTACTGTACTACAAGACAAATACATATCATGGTTCAACTATAAACTAATGATAAAACTTGTTGGAATATTTCTAACAAAAAATCGTTCGTTAAAGAGAAC